AGCAGGAGTCTTCCCGGTGAGCTGTCAGGGCCTTTTGTCTCTCTAAAGGGCAGGGCCTTGGCCACAGCCTGGGAACCCAACAGGGCCAGAAGGGAAGGGCTGAAACAATCAACCTGCCCTCACAGTTTAGAGATGAGAGGAATGGACCCAAAGAAGGGGAAGGACTTGCCCCAGGTCACCCAGCTCAGTGGTCACTGACTGCTGGTCAATGTTTCGCCTTCACTGTCTCCATCTGTCTCCATCTGGCGAGGGGCTGGCAGTCCACCAGCAAGATCCTTGCCAACCCTCCATTACTTCCTGCCCCATGGGACTTCCCTACCTCCTGGAATAGAGACTATTCTTGGATCTAAGCCTCCCCTACTTCTTAGCTTTTTTTTTTTCTCAAATGAAGAGCACTGTGGAAGTCACCCACCTGCCCAGCCCCAGCCCCAGCTGCAGGGGCAGAGAAGGTGGTTGTGGTTGGTGGAGGCTGAAGAGGAAGTGTTCATGGGGCCTTACATTCTCAGAGCCCACCGCCCCCTGGCCTGGCCCCTGACCCTCCTGCCACCCTGCCCACTCCCCCTCAGGCCTCTGCACTCCAAGGCTGAGCAGCACCTCATGTGCGAGGAACACGAAGAAGAAAAGATCAATATCTACTGCCTGAGCTGTGAAGTGCCCACCTGCTCTCTCTGCAAGGTCTTTGGTGCTCACAAGGACTGTGAGGTGGCCCCACTGCCTACCATTTACAAACGCCAAAAGGTATCAAGCGGGGGAGGGAGCAGGCATGTGGGGGTGGGGCATAGGCCAGAGTCTCTAATTCCAGCCTCTTCACTTGGTTTTAAAGGCAGGCAGATCAGGGCTAAAATCCCCGCTGTATGCATGACCTTGGGTAAGTCATTTGACCTTCTAGCCCTCACTTTCCTCACTTGTAAAATGGGGATGGAAATGCCTACTTGTGAGAGTAGTGGGATAAAATGAGATCATGGATGCAAACAGAGACTTCAGTATGGTGGACTGGATATTCTCAAGGCTTTTTCACTACCACACAACTAGATTCTATATAAAATGTAATTTTAAAATTGTGTTGGTGCCCACATAAGAAGTAAAGGAAATCTCCAAGTGGGGGTGGGGCAAGGTGGGGAGCAGACGTGGAGGAAGTGAGCTGAGAACAGAACCCTGCGTGGTAAGCACAGAAAAAGTGGGATTTCCCAGAGGGCAAATGCTGGCAGTATTACTGAGCTAGAAAGATGAGACTATTCCTCCAAACCCCTAAAAGGTGGGCTACCTGCAATGAAGACTCCCAAGAATCCCAGGTTAACCTGGAATCCCAGGTACTAGAGAGATCAGTTGCGCCACCTAGCTTTTGGCACAAGCAAATGCAAATTTTGCCTGGACGGAAAAACCCTCAGTTTAAACCCTCGGGTTTTCCTTAGATTAGGAACAACAAAAGATTAGCTCACAACTGAAGACACACAAAGAAATGTATCCCATTAGTGAAGTTAGCAGAAACAAAAATTTTGGATTTCGATTCCTGAGGAATTCAGATATCGGAATTATTAAAGAACAGGAAGTCACAGTGAATAAAATGCTCTCCAAAAAAGATGGAATTAAAAAACAAACAATAATAGACTATCAAAAATCCAGATGTGACAAAGAACCAAATAGAGCTTTTACAAATGAAAATATAATTGCTGAAATAAAACATTCAAAGGATGAATTAAATGTAAGATTTCTCTAAGAGAGAATTAGTAAGTGGGAAGAGAGAACTGAAAAAACAAACAAACCTAGAATACTGCGCTGGGAGATGAGAAGGTTGACAGTGAGATCTAACATATATCTAATCAGAGTCACAGAACGAGAAAATAAAGAGAATGGAGAAGAGGCAATATTATCCTAACAGATAATCATGGAGACTTTTTCAGAATTGATGGAAGGCATGAATGTCCAGATAAAGCATCTACTCCAATGCCTGGCACCTGGCACCTATTTGGTGAATGTCTCTTCCTTTCTCATTTGATGGTAGAGAACTTCCTCTCTTGACCTCCTTCCAAAATCTATAATGAGCTTCCACGCTTCTTGTATGCCAAGCCCTCTAGGTCTCTGAAATATAATAGCTTCCCTGCAGATGGCCTGATGGTGGGGTGGAGGGGGCAGTTCTTTCCTAGGCAGCCCTGGCTGGGATGGGAGGGGTGCCATTCTAAAACAGGTCCTTCAGTCCTAAGTGCTGGCCTATATGTGTGGCAGAGTGAGCTCAGTGATGGCATCGCGATGCTGGTGGCAGGCAATGACCGTGTGCAAGCCGTGATCACACAGATGGAGGAGGTGTGCCAGACCATTGAGGTAAGCCTGGGATGGGAGGGAGGGAACATTTCTGGTTTCCTGGAAGTGGATCACAAGTAATGGGGTGTGTTTAGCCAAGCTGCAAGATTTGAACCTCAGCTCTGCCCCTCACTAGCTCTGCAACTTTGGTCCAATTACTTAAGTTCTCTGTGCTTTGGTTTTGTTTGTTTTTAACTACATAAAATAGTGATAATGAGAATGATATGGTGCCTACCTCGCTTGATCTTTTTGAGAACTAAATGGGATAATACAAGTAAAAACCAGGGCCAGAGACATAGACAGCACTCATAAGGCTACTTTACTTTTTTATTTATTTACTAAAAAAAAAAAAGATTTTATTGGGGAATTGGGGGAGGGGAAGGGGAACAGACAAGTTGCTGTTCTTCAGTCTAATTGTGGAGGACGTTGCTTCACTGACCCATGTTGGTATTATCATTGCGCTTTTCCCGAGTGAGGCAGATCGATCGCCGGCCCCTGGACAGGCGCTCAACCGGCTCTTGGCAGCTCACCCTGGCTGCTGGCCGCTCACACCGGCTGCCAGCCACTCAGGGTAGCTTACGGCAGCCCACTGCAGCCTATGCTGTGGCCAGAGACTCACTGCAACCCAGCTCCAGGTGGAGCTGTTGTTCACCATCTTAGCTGTAGAGGGCAGTGTCACTGGCCCTAATGTGGGATCAGAACCCCGACCCTGTTGCTCAGAGCTGGAGTCCCAAGCCAACTCTTAACGAACACGCCACTCCTCCGACCCATAAGGCTACTTTAAAATACTGTGTTATTTGCTAAGAGAGTAGATCTTAAAACTTCCCATCACATGAAAAAAAATTGCAACTATGTATGGTGACAGATGTTAACGAGACATATTGTGGTGGTCATTTCACAATGTATACAAATCTTTAATCATTACATTGTACACCTGAAAGTAAATATGATGTTATATGTCAAGTATATCTCAAAAAATATCGTGTTATTATCATTTCTAAAAAGATCTGGGAATCAGCAGCCATTGGCTGCTGGAGTTCTGACTAATTTGTGGTGTCACCGACAGGTCACTTTTCTTCTTGGCTCTCTGTGACTTCCACTAAGTGGGAGTGGGACAAGTGGCTGGGTGCTCTCCCAGCTGTGAGGTCTCATCCTAGTTCTCCCTTTTTTAGGACAACAGCCGGAGGCAGAAGCAGTTGCTAAACCAGAGGTTTGAGACCCTGTGCGCGGTGCTGGAGGAGAGGAAGGGTGAGCTGCTGCAGGCGCTGGCTCGGGAGCAGGAGGAGAAGCTGCAGCGCGTCAGGGGCCTCATCCGCCAGTACGGAGACCACCTGGAGGCCTCCTCTAAGCTTGTGGAGTCAGCCATCCAGTCCATGGAGGAGCCGCAGATGGCACTCTACCTGCAGGTGGGCCCTGGGGGAGGGTGGCGGGCTGCATAGTGGCTGGAGATGGGGCCTTGGCACCTAGAGACCTGGTTTCAAGTCTTATCTCTGACACCTACCTGCCCCCACGGCCTTGGGCAAGTCACCTCCTCTGAGTCCATTTTCTCCTTAAAGAATTGGGATATGCCTCTTCCCCCTACCCAGCAGGACTGTAGTGGGCATCAGAAATGGAACTTTGCCAGAGGCTGGCACAATGCTTACTCTCCCCCACCTTTCTTCCCTACAGCAGGCCAAGGAGCTGATCAATAAGTGAGTAGGCGGAGCGAGGAGGGACAGGAAGGGGCTGCGGGGCTTCACTGCCACGCGAGGGGGGTGAGGGTGCTGGGGCGTTTCCAGATGAGCCGTTTCCACCGCTGCAGGGTCGGGACAATGTCGAAGGCGGAGCTGGCAGGGCGGCCAGAGCCAGGCTATGAAAGCATGGAGCAATTCACCGTGAGCGTGGAGCACGTGGCGGAAATGCTGAGGACCATAGACTTCCAGCCAGGTGAGGGAGCCAGGAAGGGAGGGGCCGCCGGGACTGGGCGTCAGGACCCTCCGGGTGGGAGCGGGGTAGGGCATGCCGCCCAAACAAGCAGGGGACTCTGCCTCACGGGGGTCTTCCTTGGGCCCAGGAGCTTCTGGGGAGGAAGAGGATGAGGACATGGCTTTGGACGGGGAGGAGGGCAACGCAGGGCCAGAGGAAGAGCGGCTAGATGGGCCAGAAGGTGAGTGTACCGCGAGGGGCATCGCGGGCCTGGCTGGTCCTCGAGTGATAGCCCTCCCTGCCGGACCAGGGCTCGCTTGCAGACCCTACTTTAAAATGCTTCCCAACTCCCAGCAGGAGGGGAGCGCCCCCTAGCGCGAGTGCAAAAGGACGCTTTCTTTCCCATAAGCCATTCCTCTGGGGCTTTGGGAAACCAGGGTGGGTGGGGAAGTAAAGGAGACACCCACGTGGCTGGGGAAAGCGGGTGAGCTGGGTTTCGGAGTTGCCTTGTTTCCTTGAAGCGCCCGCCCACCGCGCTTTCTTTCTGGGGACAGGCCTGCATTGACCCTCCCCCTGTGGGGGACTCCGCGCTCTGGGGGCCTGGCGCTCGGCTAGTGGAGGATCTGCGCAGAGACCACCGCGCCCCGCAGCTCGGCGCCCCGCCGCTGGAGAGGGCTCAATAAAGGGCTAATGCATCCCGACCCGCAGCTCCGTTCACTGCTCACTGTCTGTCACAGCTTCTGAGGCGACCCCGTCACCATCCCACCCTTCTCCGGGTCTGGGACCAGTTGGCGGGCGGAAGTGAATTGAATCCCTATTGGGCACTTCCTTGATATTAGGCACGGATTCCTGAGCCAGTGCCAAAGGCAAAGGGTGGCGCGGAAGGGTCAGGACTTGAGTTCCCCGGGGGACTTGGAGACAATGGGGACACAGGACCCTGGCTGAAAGCCGTTCTCCAGGTTGCTTCCCCTGCAACACTGGTTCCCTCCCGCCGGTCTGGGAGGCCCCATATTCCCAGGGGTTCCCACCCTGCTGCGGAAGGCTCCCCGCACCCCCACAACAGAGACCAAAAGCTCTTCAGCACTTTTATTAAAAACTAGAAACGCAGAGCGTGCTCAGGATACCCCTGGGCCGCTCCAGCCCCGCGGGACTGGGTCAGTTCCACTTGCGCAGGTCCCAGCTCCCGGGTGGGGGTAGGGGTCGAGGTTTTCCGCGCCCCAGGCCCCGCCGATCACTTGCCCACCGAGTCGAATATGATGCGGTTCTGCTCTGCGCGCTCGCGCTGGCTCTGCGTCCGTGCCATCTCCAGCAGGGTCCGCAGCAGGTGGAAGGTGAGGTCAATGGACAGCGGAGGGTCGTCCCGTCGCGGCCGCTCTCCTGTGGTCCCAGATCCCCATCGGCCTGGCCCCGCGCGGCGCGGGAAACGCTCCGCCAGCAGCAAGAGGAGCGCTCGGGCCCCTCCGCCCTGGTTCCGCGCTCCCGGACTCCAGCGCAGACTCGGGTCCTGGACCCCTGCCGCCGCCGCCGCCGCCGCCGCCTCCTTCGGGCTCCACTGGCTGCTCCCCGGGCGCAGCTGTGCCAGGAGCAGCAGCGCCGTCAGCAACGCCGCACGTCCCGCCAGCCTCATGGTGCCACCAGCCCTGGACACACGGGCAGCGCAGGGTGAGGTGTGCTTGGAACAGTCGCAGGTGGCGCCACTCCCCTTCCCGCGCACATCCAGCGTCCCCACCGGTCCCCTGTAGCTGCCGCGCGGTGCCCACAGCCTTCCCTGCAGTCCCTGCCGTTGCCCAGTCTTGTGCCACCCCTTCCTCCTTCCTTCCCTCCCTCCCTCCCTATTAGCGGGTCCCGGTGGGTGAGCGGAGCGCAGAGTCCTGGTGTTGAGGGAGTCCGGGGCGGACGCTCCGAGCCACGAGCCACTCACAGGTTGCCAGAGAGCGTCTGCACAGTGCAGGAGGGAGCTCCAGTCAGTCTCTGTCCCTCGGGGCGGGCTGAGGACGCCTTGGGAAACACGGGGTCTGTCCCGGGACCGCCGCCAGTCTTATATAGCTCCAGGACAGCTCCGACTGACGTCAGCGAGGAACATGCACTGATTGTAGAGCAATGACGGTCATGGCTTCGAGTCCAGCGGGTGGCAGGACCCCAAGGGGAGCGTCTCTGGGGCTTGCGCTAGAAGCGACAGCGGACTCAAGTGAGCGAGAAGCTGGCTGGGGCATGAAAATTGCTCTGGAAGCAACGAGTGTCCTTTGCCAGCTTAGAACAGTCAGCCGTGACTAGGGCCGGTCCCCAGACCAGAAGAGTCCAGATCTCCAGTCTTTTCTGGCACACAAAAGGATGGCTGGATCATGGGGCTGTCCGTGGTGCTGACCCTGTCTTCTGCCTCCAGAGGGGCCAGAGGCATTGGGAGAATGCTGTGCTACTCAGACCCAGTCCTTTGCCCCAGGTATCAGCTCTGTAAATTGAGACTACCAGGAGTGCACCGCTGGCATTCAGTCACCACCATGGTACCCACCCAAGAGGCAGCTGAGGCAGGCTAAGTCGGCGAGAATTCCTGATCTTATTCCAGTCCCAGGACCTAAATTCTAGACCTGATTGAGGCACCATAAAAAAAAGAGGGTTTCTGGCCTCACAGTGCCTTCAGACCACAAAAGGCTGGTCCATCTACTTCTCAGTTTGCCCCAAAGTGGTAGGTTAGCCAAGTTAATTTTTCTCCTGGGAATCACAGCAGTATTACTCTGTCTTTACCTCTAGGTTAAGATCACCTGGTAGGAAGTAAGGAAACATGGTGCCTTAGTCCATTCAAGCTGCTGTAACAAAAAGACCACAAATTGGGTGGCTTATAACCAAAAAACATTTATTTCTCATAGTTCTGGAAGCTGGGAAGTCCAAGATCATGGCACCAGTAGATACGGTGTCTGGCGAGGATCTGCTTACTGGTTGACAGGTGGCGCCTTCTTGCTGTGTGCTCGCAAGGCCGCTAGGATCAGGGTACTAATTCCATGAGGGCTCTGCTCGCCTGACCTCATAACCAAAGGCCCCACCTCCTAATGCCACCACCTTGGGCCTTAGGGTTTTCACCATATGAATTTGGGGGGTATTTAAACATTTGATCTACAGCACGTGGGTTCCGGTTTCTATTATGCCACTAACTCATGGTGTGGACAGGTCACCTCACTTCTCTGGACCTCAGTGTCCTCATCTGTAAAAGAAGTTTGGGCTTGGCGATCTCTAGGCTTCTTGCCATCCCTAGAAATTTTGACTCCTTAGTATTTTTCTGTTGGGTCTTACTCATTGCCTCTGCAGTTCCAGATCACACATTTATAACATATTTACGGAGGTAACACATAAAGGGTTTGAGGGGGCATCCCCAAAGAACTGGAGCTACACTAATGCTGGAGAGGGTTAGAAAAACAGATGTATTTATGAAGAGTGGGGATGAGTGGCACTGGCTGGGATGTGGCTGTAAACTAAAGTTAACAAGATCATATAGTTGCACAAATATTTATGGGGTGCCCCTATGTGGTGGGCATAAGACCATTAGAAAGGTTTTAGTAAATTCAAAAGGAGTCAGTTTACATTTCAGAGTGAAATGGGCCATTTCATAGTGCTAACCCCCCTAAATTCTGACCAGCAACTGAACCCTGTGAAAACTGATGTGCCAGTTTTGAGGAGGTCAGCTGAAGCTGCATCATTGCAAAGCGGAAGCAATGGCGTGAGGCAGGCTTAGAGCCGATGTGCCTTCCAGGACAGGTAGGAGTTCCAGATAACAGCAACACACTGGACAACAGCCAACCTACCGAACAGGAATGGCAGCGTGAAACAGAGGAAGGATAAGGAGAAAGCAAGGGGGGGAGACGGGCAAGTGTAATGAAAAGGAGGGGTTATCTCTGCGAACATCCAGGTTTACCCCTCCTTCCTTCAGCCCCCTTTGGAGGGACGTGTGGCTCAGAGCAGAGGACACCAGCTCAGGTTCTGGTGCTGTCCCAGAGCTCTGTGTCCTTGACAAGAGCCTCAAAGTGAAATACCCTCAGCAGCCATCTTGCCCTGCATGGCTGTTTTCATGATCCTGTCCCAGCTCCTTCTAAATACATGTATCTGTCCTCCTTGTAGCAGCAGAGAAGCTCTCATTTTCCAAAAATGTACTGTCTGCCATAGAAAGTAGCACCTTCTTCTCTTGATTTAAACTGACCTTGCTTTAGTTTCTAAGACTGTTACAAGGACCCTAATGTTTAAAGTTTGGTTCACAAGTCTATATTCCTTTTAGCTCTGCTATTCATGTAAATTTTAACCATGTCCCCTCTGAAGAGTTTTATATTTTTCTGTTCCCAAAGCCCCATCACCTCCCTAATTTTAACTACTCATCTTGAGTTCTACTATTTTTATTGCAGTTTCAGCAACCACCTTTATTATTAGGGCAAAATAATATTTTGCAGTGGACTAACCTAACCAGGTTCCTACATGGCTCTTTGATCTACTTTTCTGTCTAGCCTAGGCCGCAGACCCCTTGGCACACTGTCTGCAGCAAAGGCAGGGTGGGATGGAGCCAAAGGTTGTGGGACAAGATCCCCCCTCGGTCAGTGGGCAGACACTCTGGGACAGGTTCTATAATGAACAAGAGGATCTGAATAAAATGCTCAGGAGTCTGGGAGCTCTGATCAGGGCAGGATGTTCTGGGGGGTCTAAAGTAGCTCAAGGTTAATGAGAATCACTTTATCTACAACTGTTCTTAATGTGGCTCTTCCTTGAAGGGTGGGGCAGGGATCTGTCCTACCTGTAATGAAGGGGAACCAGGTAGAAGTTGGCTAGCTGCACAGCAGGCCACAGCTACAAGAGAGAGAAGGTAAATGTTGGGGGGCTGCCTCCATCACCTGACCCCAGACTCACTGCCTTGCCTGGTCTTCCTCCAACTTCTGTAAACAGAAAGAAGTTGAACAAGTCGGGGAGTGCTTCCCTGAGTGTGGTGCCCACACTGGGAATGAGAGAGTCATCCCAACTGAGGGATTTCTAGGTCAGGAGGACCCCCAATCCCTGGGTACTTCTGGACTCAAGGAAGCAAGAGGCAGCAGAGGTGTCAGCTCTTACATAGTAGTTGGTGATGAGGGCATCAGGGTAATCCTGAGGAGACACAGAAGGAATAAATTAGCACTCGCACTTCCAAGCAGCTCCCACCTCCCAGTCTGAAGGGCGCACACAGACTTCTGTTCAGAGAGCACACTCCTGCACTGCACCCCCTCAGCTCCTTTCCTCCAGAGCCCGGGACCCTACCTGCACTTCGGCCTGTGTCACCCCCCTGAAGCCTGCCACATTCCCCTGGGTGTGCCAGTCTGCCAGCCAGAGATCTTCCCCACACCTGCCCAGCTCACCCGCCGGAGTTTGGCCCAGTTGTCTTGGGCTGACAGTCCATTGAGTGTCCCTACCAGTGGGAGGAAACAGCCTAGAAAACATGGGGCAAAGCCCCCCTAAGGAAGAGAAATTAAACAGCTGTCAGCACCTAAGCCCACCCTCCACCCATGCAGCTCACCCTTCCCAACCCCTGTTTCTTCCTGCTCACCTGATCCAACAACATCTTCTTCAGTGCATCCACCTTGGTGGTGCCAGGGATGAGCCGGTCTAAAACCCTGTACCAGCCTCCTACTACAGGGCCCTGCAAGCAAACCCCAGGGAGGGGAGCAGTTGGCTTTTACATCACAAAGCTCCTTCCTTCCTTGAGTATTAGAAGCCAAATTCCAGGGCAAGCATACACTCCAGAGTGGCTTGGATGTGAGAAAGGCCGAGGGAAACAGACCACTGTCCAATCCACCGGCAGCCTTACCTATGGGCAGAACTTACCACAAAGCCACAGCCCAGACAGACCATGGTCAAGGTCCGGCCAGTCTGGTGTCCCCGCAGACCTCGCCTCTCCACCAGCTGCTGTGAGATAATGTCGCCCAGGCCCATCAGGGACCCTGTGCAGGGTACACAGGTGTTGTTGTCAGGACGCCTCCCAGGATGGGCTGCCACTCCAAGGAGGGAGGGAATTCTGCTGACTGAAGAAGTCTCTAGCACCCTGGGCCCAAGGGCTGAATTCTGGGGCAAATGGCCAGTCCCTTGCTGCTATTTCAAAACTCTCCTCTCCCAAGGATGGTGACACCCCACGTGTGTCCTGTTAGAAACTGGGATGAGCAGCCTGGGCAGGCCAGGGCCCAAGAGTTCTGCATGGAGCAATCGAGGGAAGTCGGAGTCAGAAACTGCAGCTGGAGGAAGGACAACTGAAGGCGCCAGGGGCTGAGAACCACCTACTGTCAGAACTGGAAAGGCCTTCCAGATAACTGCACCCAAACCCCTTATTTTAGAGGTATGGAAATGGAAGGTGTGGGATCTCACATAACCAGTAAGCGACAGAGCCAAGGCAAATCCCACGTGGCTTGATTTCCTAGACAGTATTCTTTCCAGGACACTACACTATGAATAGGTCATGTGTCGAATGATAAGGAACCCTGGGTGTTTTTCCCCAGCCCAAAGCAAGTCCCTGGCCAGTGTCCCTCCCCTTGGTCTTGGGGTGTCTATTTGTGGAGAACAGCAAGAATAACTCTGTTTCTAAAACATGAGTGTTCAAATGGTCCCAGGAAGGAAGATGGCTGGTGGAGCCGGGAAGAGTCCCTACAGGGAAGAGTCCTGGCCACCTCTTAGTACAATCAGGTAAACCCAGACTTCCCCATTCACAGCCTCAGATTGAGCTGGCAATAGGTATTACAGCCATTTCTCCCCCAGGCCTTTGCACTTGCTTCCCCTCCCCTCACTTGCACAAATACGCAGCTCTAAGCAGACCTTGTCAGACACCCTCATCCAGAAACCAGGACAGAAATCATTATTTACAGAGCCCCCCGTCAGTTATGGTGGCGTGATGATTTCTAGCAAATACACACTAATAGGGCCACCTGGGAGTGACCATATGATCTCCAGCTCGCCTGTCTGTCTCACTTGAGTAATGAGAGTCCCCCTCCAGCCCGGAGCCACCACCGTCCCTGTGCCCTCAATTAGCACTGGGCAAACACATCCTTCAACCCCTTTCCTTGGCCGGGAGCTGGCTCTGACGTCCGTGCTGGCTGCACTGCTCTTCCCCCACACCTCTGCACAGCCCTGCCCCGAGTAGCCTCATCAGAGGCAGCTGGGCAAAGCTGAGAGCTGGGGCTGCGGCTGGAGTGGGGGCACCTGTAGGCAACTGAGGCTGCTGGCCTCAGCTGCTGGGACTCCCAGCCATGGAGCAACTCTGGGATGCCCAGCACACCCAGCAAGGCAGCCCTGCCTCTCCTGTCCCTGAAACTCCCAGAGTGGTGGAGGTTCTTCCCAGAACATGGTTGGACATGACCTTCCAGAGGACAAGGACAGAATCCTAGACATTTGGTTCTCTTATCTCTGCCACACCTAACCAACGCCCTGGCAGGTGCTCAGAAAATACACCAAGGAAAAATGTCAAATGTTCTGCCCCAAACAACAGGACCATCCTGGGAAAGGGCATGAAGAGCTCTGAGGCACCCGGAGGACGGCATATCAGGCACAGGGCGTGAGGACCAGGGGGCTCAAGGCTTGCTGCCCCTGGTTAGCACTTGACTCTGTATCCCCTCCCTGACAACTGGGGTCACCAGGATCACTCTTCCCTTTATACATGGTCACTTCTGCACTCCCAGGCATAAAGCGAAGAGTGGCCCTGAGGGGGATTGTTGTTTTTTGTTTTGTTTTTGAGGGCGCAGCTCAGAGGCCCATGAGGGGATGGAACCAGCAACCTTGGTGTTCTCAGCACCACACTCTAACCAACTGAGCTAACTGGTCACCCTGGCAATCACTTCTTAAATGGAAAGACTAACAGTTTGACATTCTACTCTGGCAAGATGTTTAGTATTTACAAAGGGATCTCACACATTCCATCCTCATAAAAGGTCTGGGAGATAGGGGCCACACCTCCATTTAATGCCTTTGAGAGATGAGGTAAGTTGGTAAGGAATGGAGCTGGGGCCTGAATCCAGGCCATTTCTCAAAGAAGAACAGGAGGCCAGGGAATTCCCAGCATAGGCTCAGGGACCAGAGGGTGCCAAAAGGCTCCTGTGGCCGCGACTCACAGGGGGTTCCTGCCCAAACCAAGCTCCAGAGGCCCACACATCTCAAAGTGACTTCCTGGACTAATGCACTTCCTCTTGTACTCCCCAAAATGCGACCACCTCTGTGGCCTGTGGAGAGTGCTAGCAGCAATATTCCTGGGAAAGAAACAGTCATCACAAAGAGAGGTGTGGGTTTTCATGCTTCAGGCTTGCCAGCAGTCACACAAGCTCAAGGCAGAGCAGGAATGAAAACCAAAGTCCCTGACTTCTAGCCCCACAGTCCTGGGAGCCTGTGGCCTTTGAGAAAGATGGAGTCCAGGCCCTCGAACCATGTCCCTCAAGCTCGAGGGATACCGAGCAAAAGGGCAGCAGCAGGCGTAGATAGTGGACAGCTCTGCAGCCCTGCCCATTCTGTGCATTTCAGACAGAACAGTGCCCAGAGGCTCCTCCTGTCTGCAGGTCATCAGGCCCCGAAGCCTCAGCAACGCCAGGGTGGTCTGTGGCTTTGGTCCCAACATGGAACAAAGCCTGCATTTCCGGTCCAGGAAATGAGCAGGAAGGGCTGACATCCAGATTCCTTATTTCTCCTTCCGCAACCCTGAGCCCACGCAGACCCAAACCACCCCAGGTTCTGGGAGTCCTGGGCGTATCTGGTTAGTCTGGACCTTCCAGTGCTCTGGCTCCTCTTTCCTGGACTTGTTTCCAGGTTGTGGCTGGAGGCCTGCAGAGACATACTGCCAGAGCCCCGATGGGGCAGGGTGAGGGGCTGTGGGGCAGTGATGCCCCAATGCCAGGCTGGGCACAGAGCCCAGCAGGCAGACGCTGGTGCGGGCGTGACATCATACCCCTGGGTAGGTGCCAGTTCTCATGCCGTCACTGGCCACTGGATTCAGCAGAGTGGGGGTGAGGTGGGGGGGACCCTGCCTCTGAGCACAGATGTGTTTGGGACCACTCCCTGTCCACTAGTGGAAAAGCCCCAACTTGCACACCCTCTTCCTAGGCACAAGTGGGAGTATGTTCCCTGCTGCCCCTATTTTGTTCCTCTCCTGGCTTTTGTGTGTGGTCTTAGATGCAAGAAAATGAAGTGTTAATGGAAGAGGAAAGGCTGAGCGGCAGGAAGTGGGAATAAGGAGCAGGAAGTCTGTCCTTGAGGATAGGAGACCCGAATCACCAGGTATATCTACTGGCGTGGGGCTGCAGTGCTGTTGACTCACTCCTCCCCCCTCATCCTCCCTCCTCTCCAACAATTAAATAGCTGCCTGGCATAGGGGCTTGGTCTGTCAGGACCCAGAGGGAGCTGAAGCCCCTCACTGAAAGGGGAAAGTGCATCCTCTGGGGTTGCTCTGAATGCTCCCCCATTCCTGCCTGGCCTGAACCCAGCCTACTGCTAGAAAATGAGATAAAATGGAAGGGTCTGTAGCTCGTCACATGTCTAAGCCCAGACTGCTGGGGCTACACTCAGCATTCTGAGCCCCCAGTAGTCTCCCCGGCACTTGAGACAGGGAAGTGCATTGGGAAGTGCCCTAGGTTCTAATGTCTGTTCTACCACTGATGATTAGACCTCAGTGCATGTCACCCCCACCCCTTGCCTCGGTTTCCTTCTCTGTAATATCAGGGGCTGGACTGGATGACTCCTACATCCTGGCTGAATTCAGGGAAACCAGTGTCTTCGGAAGCTCAGCAGCTCCCACAGCAGGACCAGGGTGGCCTGAGATGGATGGAGGTGGGTCCTGGGCCCACTGGAGACCGGAAAGGCCCTCAAGAAAGGGTGGGAGAAGACAGACTCAAGTTCTGCAGAACACACAGCAGACTTTTGCCCAGGCTGCCCTGTTCCTGACTCTGGCTTGGCCCAAACGGGGTGTATAAGACACTTTTTTTGAACTATTTCTGATCTTCTTGATTCACTTATCTCTCACTCCAGCCACTACTGTAGTTCAACCTGATAGATTCTTTTTTTTCCCCCCCAGAGGACATTTTATTTTATTTTATTTTATTTTATTTTTTAAGCTGAGCCATCCTGCCACCTGTTGGTAGCTCAGTGGCTGCTCAGCTTGGGCCGTGACTCGAACCGCTGTTGCTCAGAGCTCAAACTCTTGAGCAAGCTCTTAACTAACTGAGCCACTCAGCCGGCCCCAAGCTGATAGATTCTTGCCTCAGGCCTATGCCAACTGGGGCTACACTGTTGATGCTTTACCTGGGGACTATGCATGTGCAACCTGGTAATGCAGGGGCGCTAGCATCCCAGGTTGCAAACCTTTAACCAATGTGGGATGGGAGCTGGTGGGTAAAGGTTTTCCCTTTTCTCCAGAAAAGGCTACTCACCTATGTTGTCTTAAGAGGCATTTCAAAGAGCTTCTTGGATAGTTTTAAGGGACTGAGCAGCCAAGTGCCCTAAGCAGTGTTCAATTTGGTAATATATCCTTTATATTACTAGCTCTCCCTCTTTCCAACCCCATGGGAGTCCTTCCTACTCACTTACAAAATACCTGCACAAAAGCTTCAGCCTCTGCTTTTTGGAGAACCAAGGCTAAGATAGTTGTTCATGTTCATATTTATGGCAAGTGGAACAAACTCAACCCAAACACCATTATAAAAAGAATAGCTTGGACCGGCCAAGTGGCTCAGTTGGTTAAGAGCTCGCTCAAGAGTGCGATCTCTGAGCAACAGCAGTTCAAGTCCCGGCCCAAGCTGATCTGCCGCTGAGCTACCAACAGGTGGCAGGATGGCTCAGCTAAAAAAAAAAAAGCCAGAATAGCTTGCTGGCCTGGGTTGCCAACACTCATAAAAGGGCCAACCCCTGAGCCTCTATTGAGCATTTTTTAATCTCTAAAGCCTTTTCACAGAGATAATCATTACACAGACTCTGTGAGGTCATATAACTAAACTCAAGCTCTAGATGAGGAAACTGAGGCTCACAGAGGTTTATTGATTTGTTCACGCTGCTGCTAAGTGCTATGGCTCTGAGATTCAAATTTTGGTCTTCTAACTACAAGTTTGAAATCTCTTCTGTTTTTTAGTGTGATGAAACTATCTCATGGGACTTTAGGAACTACTGTGCTAGAATCTAAAAACAGCTCATTGAGCAATTTCCACCTCCTCTCTTTATTTGTAGTTTGTTCCAAATTCACTGAGCAGCAGGGAAGAAAAAGTCTGAAAGGTTTGGAAAAGTCTGAGAAAAGTGCTACCAAGAAATTGCTTTAGGGCTGAGCTGAAATGTCACCACAGCCTCAGGAAGGCTCGGGTGTGGAGGTCTCTAGCATCTAGACAGACCAGCACCTCAGTTCAGCTACATATCTGCACTTGGGCCCTTTGGAGCTCCAACTTCTACCCTTGTCAGCTGCAGATGCCTTGAGTAGGGAAACACAGGACTATCCTTACCTCCCTGTTCTTAGTGGCCATGAGGGAGAAACTTCCTTCCGGAAGTTAGGGTCCCTGAGGGAATCTGAGACTGGGCAAAGGGCCCAGGGTATCAGTTCCCATCACAGCCATACAGTCCAGCATGAGTCACCACACACGCAGCCAGGTGAGTCATGCAGGCTGACGGACACTCTGAGGACAGGACATGGGGTGGTTGGGCACAGGAGACTGGAGAGGGGCCGAGGGAGGGGCAAAGGAGTCCATCCTTTGGCCAGTCACCCAGTGACGTTTCTAGTGCTAATGTAGGGCTATTCCAGTAACAGGATCACTCTTCCACCCTGGCTTTCAGTAGCCCCCCACCACTTTCAACAGTCTTCCTCTCAGAAGCCCATGGTTCTCATTAGAATCCTGTTCCCTTCCTTTAAACATAGGCAAGACCCCATCTTAACCCGATCACTCTTGCACTGCCCAAGTAGTCACAGGCCTTCTCATCCTTCTCCCTATAAAACTTACTTATCTCTGTGCCATCCCCGCTCACATTAGCTAATCTGCAAAATGAAAGTGGTTAACAAATGCAGGTTAAGTCACTAGGTTACCGCTGTGAGGTTGCTCCTCAATCACTGGATTTGGAGTAAAAATAAATCCTTGATTAGTATATTGTCTGGGGATACATACATAGGCAGTAAAACTATAAGAAAAGCAAAAGATATTGCAGCGCTATTCGCAATAGCCAAGACTTGGAAACAACCGAAATGCCCATCGGTAGA